CATGGGTGGAGTGTGTGTGGGGGGGGGGGCCCACACCCCACCCCCCTTACACGCACACGCTGCCCACCCGAGCTCCATGATGCTACTGTGCCCCTGGGCATGGAGTTGGCGCTGCTACCAGCCCCAGCCCCATGCTCCGCGCTTCCGCCTAGCTGCAGCTCAGCCCTTGCCCCTGCCACTTCCCTACCTGCTGTCCAGAGCCAGCAGAGCAGGTCCCCGGGGATTGCAGCAGTGGTACCATCAGCCCTACCTAAAAGCTACTGCTAGCCGAGCCATGCCCTTCCACGCATGAAGGTGGGAGCAAGGCGCAATAGAGTATGTTTGGAGGTACGTACAGGTGGCCACCTTACTTCCACCCCGTGGATGGAAGGACTGGGTGGGGTGCAATTCATTGGTGGGTGCTGTGGGCCAGATTAAAGTGCCTGGCGGGCCAGATGCAACCTGCGGGCCGTATTTTGCCCACCCCTGCTTTAGTTAGACCAAGGAAATTCAGTCCTCAAGAGAATGGTTGCATGTCACAGAGAGAGATGGAGGCACCATGGAACCAGCTAATTGGTCCGGGGGGCGGAGTGGGCAGCTGGGGCAATTCCTTCCCTAACCCCAGTCAGGTGATCAATCTGCTCCTGAGCCTGCAAGCAAAAGCCATGAGGCAGGCACCTGAGAAGGAAAACTCTTGCAATCATCTCCAAGTATCCCAGTGCCTGCCAGCTGTGGTTGGTCTCCGTCTTGCTCAAACTTCAGAAAGGAAAAGCTAAGCAAACCAAAGTGAAATGAAGTAGACTCCCTCAGGTCAATCATGGAGTGGGGAAATTAATTCCTTCCTGACCCCTGCACGTGACCAGCAGATACCCTGAAGTATGAGACTGGATTACATTCATGGTGCTAATGCAGAGCTGCATGGGTAATGAGCATATTGAAGGCAAGTCAAGGAATCTCGTTCTCCCTCTACCCTGTGTAGAAAGGAAGATGAACAAGCAGGGCTTATGTATCTACCGAGCCTGTCACCAATGGCCATGGGCAGACCTAGGATTTTGAAAAGGGGCTTGTAGACGGTATGGTGCATCATCATATATAACACAACACGTTTTGCCCAGTTAAAAATCAACTAGAAGCTTTACTAATATTCTTGGGGCTAGGGTTGTATTATTCAATTTAGGACTAAAGAAAAAAAACAACAAATATAACTTCATCGGAATGAGTTAAAAAAAACAGTCTTCAGGGCTGTGAAATAGGAGCTTCATTACCAGGAGGAGGTAACAGGCAGCAGATCTGCAGAACAAAGGATAGCTTGACTGGTGGAACATCCCGGGAGTTAACAAGGTGAGTAAGCCATTAACACCTGTGCAATGAAGAGTTTAGAAGGGATCAGGTAGAGTATAATGAGCCACTAAGTCAATTAACTCCCTCAGCACTGCCCGACTAGAAATGCTGCTCCCACTGCCAAGCAGTTGGTTTTAAACTTTGGGCGGACCAGAAATCAAAGCCAGGGGGAAGGTGAGTGGGGGGAAGAGAGAAGTGCACCAGTGCACCCTTCCTGGATCCACCCCTGCCAGTGGCAATGGGTAAGTCAGTGTTTAGACTCAAGGAACCCCTCGGAAAATGCCAGCTCAGAGTTTTCTCTTGTTTTTTGCCTACAGAAAAATAACAGAGCAGTTCTTGTGTTGCAAGGCACTCAGAAGGACTCCAACAGGGCAGAATGCCGGTCACGTGACGGACCACCTTGCCTGGCACAGGTGGTAGAACTGGTCCTTACAAGTGCATTTAAGACTATCCCCTTGAAAGGCTGTCTGCTCCCACTCTAAGACACCCCGGAGAGGTGAGTCTGCTGTCCCATTGCTTAAGCTGTGCTACCACCATTGCCAGGGGACTGTGCCATGTTTCAAGGTTGAATTTCTGTAACTTCAGCTTCCAGCCATTGGATCTAGTTCTGCCTTGGTCAGCAAGATGGGAACCCACCCCCACTCTGGGGTCTCTTTTCCACATGTCAGTGGCTACATGCAGCGATCAAAGCATCTCTCAGCCTTCCTTTTGATCAACGGAATAGTTTTTCTCCTTAAGCCTCACTTTGTGATCTTGTCTTGCACCCGCTGCACCACTTCCGTGTCCTTCCTTTGCACTCTTGCAGGGTGCAACTGAGACCCTACTGCCTGAAGCTAGACAGTCTGAGCCAACAAAACAGCGTATTTTGTCCAGTTCCAAGGAGAAAATAACTGATCCATTGACCGTTCTTGTTTGTAACGTTATGTCTGTGTCTAGCAAGCACGTGAGCTTCGCAAGAGGCAGCATGGGCTGGAGGACTGAACATTGGGTTGGCAGTCCAGGACACCTATGAACCAATGCCTCACGTTGTCTTGAGTCAGTTCTTAACACAGACTGTCCAGTAGTGGACAGACACAAGGGTGTCAATCACTGTCTGCTTGCAGTGCTGCTGGTGGCCCGAGGGAGGCAAGATCCTTCCACTATGTATGTCCCACCCCATTGGTCTCAGACACCCATTGGCTGGAGGGGAGAGGCTGGGGTATACAGGTGAATGAGGTTTTGAGCAATCATACATTAACAAACCAGCATCAGCGACCACCTTACAACAGGAAACCAGTGCTAACAATTACCCCTGCAATTAAAATAGAAAAGCGAGGACTTACACAAGGCAGCACAGGCTGCATCTAACCAGGCACCAGAGGGAACCACACAGCGAGTCCTGCAGTCTCAGCAAAGATGTTCCTTCCTAACACACCCAAGTTGTGTCCCCTTCTCTGCTGAGGCAGATGTTTCTGGGGGAAAATAACACATTGCAGCAAAGTGTGAGGAGGTCCAGCCACAGCTGCACTGGTGAGGTGCTGGAGGGATGGGCCGGCAAAGGGGCGGATGTGCAGGATGGCAAGCAATGGGTGGAGCATTAAGCAGCAAGTTCCCAGGCACCATTAAAGGGAAAGGGACACCATTGCAAACCCCCAACTGGGCCTTTGGAGTCATGAAAGATCACTCCTCCAGCCAAGAGGGAGGAGGAACAAAATCGGGCAACCATTAAGGATAATTAAGCTGAGAATATGGCATCATGATGGTTAAATCCAAGACCTCTCCCAATAGTGAGGATGGAGGGAAATGTCTTACTCAGGGGCAGCGCAACAGGAAAGCATGAATACTGTCCAGTATCCAGCATCACAAGGCTGCCTGTGAGTGCTGAGCACTGAAGTGCACAGGAATAGGCAGGGGACGCTGCCTGGTCCTCAGTTGAACTGTCATCGTGATTAGTGCTGGAAAGGAAACCATGCAGGCAAGCTGGAATTGAGATTTGCCAAGCTCACTTCCCCGTACCATATAGACACCCATAGCCTCCACTTGGAGCCTTGACTTCTTAAGATTTGTCGCTGGGCTTAGGTGAGCTTCCTAAGAGACAGCAGTGCGCAGAAGATGGCATAAAGAGCAGGTCACGGAGCATGACTGAGACCCATCACAACTAATTCTTGTTTTTCCTCCTAGTCCTTCATTTTCCCTAATTATTAGTTGTAGTGAAGCACAGTACAGAGCAATCACTGTTAGGCAGTTTGGTTGAGACTAAAAAAAAAAAAAATTCAAGCCTCCTGGCTCCTCTGATGAAACAAGTAGCCTTGGACAAGACATGTATCACCACCATTTCCAGATGCGACTACCATTTGGGGTGCCTCCATTTTTGGGGAACCAAACTGGAGGTACCGTAACAGCCTGATTTTCATCCCTTTCTGAACGAGCCCCTTCAAGTCGTCTCAGATCCGGTGTTTAAAAAAACCATGAATCGTTTTTGAAAAAAATCTTAGCATTAAACTCTTTGTGCTTTAATTTGCCCAGGTATAGATCCTGTATTACGACAACACTTAAGGGGAGCTTTATCCCATTAATTTGTGAAAACCACCTTGCGCTCCACAGATGGAAGGTGTTACAGATGACAAACATTATTACTCTATAGTCTGGATCAGTTATTTAAGCAGAAAGACATTGATGGGGGGAGAGGGCAGGTGACTATAGGGTAGGCGCCCTGTAGTCTTGGTCTATGTTTAGTGTTCTGCTTTTGCAATTCTCAGAGACCTGTGGGGCTGGATGCTATGAAATTATCTTAATTAATCTTACTAATTTGTGTCCAATCTTAGAATTGTTAGGAAGGATAAAGATCAACCAGTCCTACAGAAAGAGCCAGGAATAGCTCATGCAACACTCTTTCTAGCAATTTGTGGGCTCTGTATATAGGAGCATGGCTTTCCGTTGAGAAGTGGTGCTAAGACCACTGGTGCATATTACTTTCTGATTGTAAACACACGTGCAATGGTTCTCTTGACTTCATTCTTGATTGCTTTCTCCCTCTGCTGTAGCTGTATTAATTACTATTGAGTAATTAGGGTAATTGCAATGGGTCAGGTGCTCCCATGACATAGCAGCACACTTGACTTGCCACTGAATTCTACGCACAAAATAAAGCCAGAGAGACGGATAATCTTGAGGTATGTTGCTGATGCGAGACAAAAAAGCTCCACAATATAGATTCATAAACACTTCTGATAGTCCAGCTGTGAGCCACGCTGAGGCCAAAGCATGATTAACCGAAAGGCTTAGACACATGACACATTAAACACCAGTATAATTAGCCTCCGCGCCAGTGTAAGCAAGGAGTGGACACACATACAGTCCTACATCACTGCAGCTTACTTGAATCCAGTGTAAATTTACCCCAAGAACTAGAACTAGACCAATATAAGTTCATAGATTTCATAGACATTCGGGCTGGAAGGGACCTCAGGAGATCATCGAGTCCAGCCCCCTGCCCCAAGGGGCAGGAAGTCAGCCTGGGTCAAAGGATCCCAGCAACATAAACGTCCAATTGACTCTTAAAGGAGTCCACAGTAGGTGCTTGCACCAGCTCTGGCAGCAGTCTGTTCCAGGCCTTACAGGCTTGGACTGTAAAGAAGTTCTTCCTTATGTCCAGCCTGAAATGGTCTTGGAAAACTTTGTGACCGTTTGACCTTGTCATCCCATGGGGCGCTCTAGTGACCAGGTGTTCCCCCAGATCCTGATGCACACCCCTTATGTGCTTATTACATTGGTGCAAGTGGTGTCTGCCTGCAGCTATCCTGAAGTAGCTGTTTTCTCAAGCCAAACAGGCCATTAGCTGCTCCCACCAGGGTACAAGTGAGCCTGGTTAAAGATACCCTCTTTATCATTATGTCCCCAAAAGCCTAAGGTGCATTGTGGGCAGGGAGCAAAAGTGAGCCTACAGCACTTTGGCTTAGGGCTTGGGGCACTCAGCTGGGAGTGAAGAGTCCTAAGCCCCAGTCTCTGCCTTTTATCTCACAACTGCTGGCATGTGCTGCAATCTTTAAGCTATCGGATAGTCTGGGGGGAAGTAAATCTGAACCAATCCTGCCGGAGCTATCCAAGGAGAACACCCTTCATCTACCTGCATTTTAAAAGAAAGCAGTGTCTGCCGCTGCACTGTGTGGACCCCTATCCCACAGCATGCTCCAAGAACCTCCCCTAGATCCAGCCCCTTGGGCAATGTCCACAAACTGGAGCCCGGCTGGGCTTAGTTGTGAGCTAGGCAAGCAGCACAGATCTGCCAACATAAGGCATTGTTCGGGCCTGTTGAGAAGTTGAGGTACGTGGGGAACTTGAATGGCAAAAACCGAGGAGCTTGTGGAGTGCAGTTGCCACCATATTTAGGAGCAGTGAAACAAGGAGGATCATAGCTTTGGGCTCCTGCCTCAATCATTGTATAGGTGACTTTGTCATTTTTTTGGCTCTGGCTCACTGTGTCTGAGTCCAGCCGGTGAAGGCGTTTCATCTCTTTGCTCACAGACGACCACACGTTTCACTCGTGCAGACACAGCCTTCTAGATAGGGAAGCAGAGAGAGAGCAGTTAAGTGACAGACTTGAGATGTCCATCAGCTCGGCCGTAGAGCTGAAACCGAAATTCAGGAGTGCTGGGCTCCCGTTCCTGGATTTAGACCACTAGGCCATGGTACAGGGCCCTGCTGGAGTAATAACACCACCACAAGAGACTTTCCAATAGTCCTTTGCTAGTGAGCAAGAGAGTTGTCTGCTGCAGGTAATACTGCTGCTGTGCTTTGCCAGACTGTCTTGCATGAGCGTGAACCATGCAGATGGATACTTGCCTTTGGATCCAAGTATCCTAGCTCCCTTCCACACCATGTACAGCTTCACAGCACCTTGCAGGATCTAGCTTAAAGCACATGAGCTCTCTCCACAGCAGGAGGGGCTGGATAAACCCCCAGTGCTAAATCACGTTGAGTTATTCCAAAGAAAGAGCTTTACCAATAGGCAAGGGCAGGAAGACGATGCTTCAGGTTAGTCGCAGAAGAGATCAGAGGAAGATTTAAAATGGATCCAGAAATAAAGCCTAAATTTGGAATTGAATCAGCTCCTTAGGAGTGGGTGGAGAAATCATCAGGTAACAAAACCCACCCACGTGCAGAGCGGATTCATAGTGGATCAGGAATGAAGTCAACTTCCTGGAACCTCAAATGGCCTTTCTAATCTGATTTGGAGATTTGAATAATCCCTAAACAGACAATTCATCTATTTACAGATTTGCTTCCTTCAGGTGGTTAGTTCACTTAAAGAGGCAGTGTCAGACCTAGTGAACTGCTCTTCCCAATCTCTGAAAAGAACAGCTTTGCCTTTAAAATCCATCCTGGAGTACAGAAAAGAGAGTCATCCTCTGATCCCAAAGCTACCATCGTATTGAAACTAGGAAACACAGGTCACAGCACTATTGTTCATCTCAGAAGCTAACTGCTGGATGAAAAGTGGCATGCCGTGTATGAGAAATGCAAAAACTAAGGTTCAGTCTAGCCCAGGTCATTGGTATGGGCCAAGCCTTTCATTTTGAGATCATAATGTGGGACCTTGGCTTAGTTGGTTGGGAGAAGTGACCAACAGCCATTGTCCAGGAGTGTGAGCGAGCTGTTCACATCACATGTGCAGAGAGGCAGAGACAGATCCACCCAAACCAGGATCTGAACACCCACCCACTTCAGAAGGCAATCGCCTTCTGGACTCAAAACCAGATCCACATTTTGTCAATAGCCTTCATCTTTACAACAGGCTCAACCTCATCATCCCAACTCCTGAAGATGTCTCAGCAAGTGAATCCAAATAGTGTCCAAAGTTATGGTGCTGCAAACAGATTGCTGCTCTGGTGATTTAATTCTATCCAACGACATTAGCAGGCCTGGCCCTCGGTTAGCACTTGCTAGCAAAGCTTGCATGAAAAAGCCAGAGGATCCCAAGGCTGCTATAATTGTACAACAGAAATTGAGGGGCAGAGTTAAGGTTGTTTTCATACTGGACTGTTTGGGACCAAGTATAAATCAGGCATTATGACTAGTGCCAGCAAGCTTAGCTTTTGATTTCTAAATGTAGTTTTTGGTTTTTTTTTTTAAACTGAGGTGCTCACCGCAACGTTTTTTCATGAACTGCACTTTGCAAACTTAACCCTAATTTAAGGTTTTTGGTTTAAAATAAAACATTGACATATCAATCTGATTGCATTATATGAGATGGTTAATGTTTGAATGTGTCACATTTTCTTTGTTGTTTCTGCTTTCCTTTTTGTGTGTGTGCATTTCAGCTCTTTAGTTAAAGATGAGTTTATGCTAAATTGTTCCACAAGGAAGCACGTAACAAGTCCTGTGACTTATTCAGAGTAGCGTATGCCATAGGAAAAGGACACTGCATATTCAATTATTCAAGAGCAAGCATCTATTTACTCTCTCCAGTTTAAGTAATGCATGATAATTCGAGTAGCCTGAACAGTCTCCCAAGTTAATACATACCAAAAAGCTCCGAGGCTGTATTATACTGTTAAAGCAAGGGACTCGTATCAACTAAAACCACCAGACAATGCTCCCTCCCCTTGAAGAGTAACGCGTTCATTTATTTAATTGCCAAATCTCAAAACATATCAACTCCCCCACCCCCACCAAACCCCCCAAAAACAGTCCTTCAAAAATCATGAAATTCACTTAAAAGCACAGGAGATTAAAATAAAAAATTCCTTTCCTTCTCCCCAGCCGTGGTCTTGTTTCTTGTGCTGTTTGGAAGCGCTCGGTCACATTTGCATGCTTTTTTCATGCTCCCCCCCCCCCCCCCCCCCCCACAAGTGGTAGGGGCTAAGAAATAACTTTCTTAAAAATGAAAGTGAGATGTTCACATCACATGACTCCAGGACATGGATAAGCAAGATAGTAAATACTGTTAAAGTCTATGACACTGATTATCCTTACTGAATATGGGCCTGTTCCCTTTGAAATTAATGTTACAATTCTCACAGATTTCAATGTGAGCAATAGCAGACCTCCGGTATTTCCAATACCTCTCCCGCTGTTTCAGTCAATATAGGGTAACTCACCAAAATAAACTGGTTAGCAGAGGCCCCTGAGGATGGGTTCCAAAAAGATATTCCTACTTTGTAGAGAATAATAGTGAAAATGAGATTGTCTGGGTAACAAGAGGCATCACTTTGAGTCAGCAGATGGCTTGAAATCCCCTTTTATTCTCCTCTTAATCCCTGCCCTACCTCATGACAATTCAGATGTCTCCAGGTGAAGGTGGTGGACAGACAGACAAGACAGCTGCACCATGTTGGATGAGCCTCCAATGGGTCAGATAGTGAGTCATGCGGCTTCAAATGCACGTGCTGCCTGGTAGCCCTCCAGAACTAGGCTGAAAGTCCTGTTTAAAACAGCCTTTCCTGCCCCATACTTGCTTTCTATCCCAGATGCCATGAGTATATTGAAAGACAAGTCCATTATGTGGTCTTGCTTCTCTGCAAAGGTCCAGGTCAAGGATGGTTGCAGTGTTGAATTGAACCTAGGTTGATTGTTGGTATATTTTCTCACATACAACACGCCCTGAAATATAAAACATGCACCTTGTTTATGGGAGACCGAACGTAGGGAGGGGAAAAAAAGCGCATTGCAAAGTCATGGCTGACTGTGCAACAGAGCAAGTCCTCCTGGGAACAGAGGGTCCAAGAAACGTGGCATCAAGAAGTTCCTGGTTCCAACTGCCTCACCCAGACCATTCCCCTCACCTTACGCAGATTCTGTATGTGCAAATTTGCTCTTATGCAATGCCGTTTTTATACCAAAAATTTGTAACAGGAGGTAAATGTACTCTTATGTGATCAGTGTGGTGGAAGCCCACAGGCAGCTGCGTTATGCAGTGCATTGTGGGAGTGACAAAGGCAGAGGAGGAAAAAGATGTTGGGGGGGGGGGATGGGGGGGGGCTGAGCCAGGTGATAGTGCCCGAGTCGGGCTGCAGCACCAGCCCTTGCAGCTCAGCCTGGTCCAGTCCCATCAGTGCAGCATCCTGGGAACTGTAAGCCATGAAGCCGCCCAGCAGCAGCACCTGCGGCCACCCCTCAGGGCAGCTGGTGCCCATGCTCCTGGAGCTGCAGCTGCGCTTGTGTGTCCTGTCTGCTGTTGGCAAGTACCAAAATTGTCTCGTCAAAGTGGTAGAAATGGGTCTGGGGGTCAGTACAGTGAAGGTCTTGGAACATATCCCTATTTGTTACATTGTAAAGTGGGTTCCCTTTATGCAAATTCGAGTTACGTGCTGTTTTCCAGGAACGCAGGTACCGCATAAAGCGAGGGAAACCTGTACTGTTAGCTCTTTATCTAAGTTCTTGTAAATAAAGTCCTTCCACCTCAAAAGCCTCATCAAGTTACTACCAGCTACTCACTTGCTGCTTCAGGCAGAAGCTATAGTGCTCAGCCAATAGCTGAGAGGGTTAAGACCGACTCTGCCATTTTGGCAGCTACAGGCCATGCACAGCATCTCTAAGCTTGCTTCTTTTTCAGTGAAGAAAACAGCCTCCCCCCTTAAAATATGTGCTCCAATTTGGGGGATTGATGGGGGGTGGGATGAGTGTTGTATGTGAGAAAATATGGTAATTTAACTCACGCATGTATAGAAGGTAACCATGAGCCTTGAGCAACTGGGGAACCTTAGAGGGGGCAAGAGTCAGGCCCAGTTCACAATGGTTCCCAAGGTAATGGTCCCAGTTTTGGAAAGAGCAGAGTATTCAGGGTGAAAAGTCATCCACTGTGCTTCTGGGGGGAGCTGAGCTCTTGACAGACCGCCTTCAGGAGTCTCCTGTGAGCTTCATCCTGTACTCTAGCAAAATTATCCGATAGGCCTTACTATTTCTACAAAATAGGGGCATTTCATCCTGCTGAGCTAGTAAGCTTCAGTTGCACTCAAGGTCTCCCAATTTCACACACACTCTCCTGCCAGGAGTTTTCTGCAGGCCTCTCTATCCTCCCCAGCCTGTGCTGACGCTGTGCACACATCTCCCCACCGTTATCATTTGTTTGGCCGAGAAGTCAATCAGGGTAATCTGGTTTTCCAAATGTTAAATCCTACTGAAGACAGAGAGAACATTACACTGGAAGGCATTCACTGGTGCCATCAACCAGTAGTTTAGTTCATAAGTCCAGGACTAAACAGATCCCCCCGCCTCCCAACAAACACACATACTTGTCACCCCTTTGGCTTCCAAAATCAAGACGGTTCTAGCCATAAAGTTGCCGAAATCCTGATGGTTTCAATAACCACCAGAACCACTCACCCGGGAACGCGAGGGATGCTCCATCACTTGAAGTCTATAGAGCAAGGCAGAGGGTCTTTCCAGAAGGGATGTTGTAGCACAAGTCTTAGGCTTGATGCAGAAATTGCTAGGCGATGCTTTGTGGCCTGCATTATGCCAAAGTCAGCCTGGATCGTCACAATCATCCCTACTGATCTTTAAGACCTAGGAATCATTGGATTGAAGATTACTGGTCACAGTGCTCGAATCTCCAGTCCCGGATACTCTGAAGAGCCCTCACACAGAACAGGTTGACTTTCCCTTATTTAGGCCCAGAGCAGATTTTGCAGATTTTCTTCCATTGCCCCTTTCCCTCAAATCTGAGTCATAGCCCTCAGCTGGAGGGATCCACCTATCACCAAAACTGTCCTGAATCACAAACAAAGGGGAATAAAAATCATGATCTGTTCAGAGCTGCTTTCCAAGCAGAACCTCTCCCCCACCTCTTTCCCCCTCTGCAGCAAAGGAAATAGTTTGCAATGGGTCGTTTACTAGCTCTCTGCAGTGTCGCACAGGGTTTCTCTGTGGTTATTTGGGCAGATGGCAGAACTTATTAAAGCTGTAAAAGGCTGGCAGGACGAAGGTGTTACTAAGATGTCAGAAAATAGATCTGCAGCGGTTAGCTTGCGATTTGTAACCTGCTCAGATCCTGTAGAGGGGTATTTTTATTTGGCCTTTTGTCACACGGAGCCCAGGGAGAGAGTGTTAATAAATGGACTCAAATGGGAAGTGTAATCATGTGGAAAAGCAATACAATTATACCTTCGTGAATCTCTGTCATATCCTGTGCATCCACTGTGCCAGGTGAGATGAGTTTAGAATAAAAACCCCTCTCATAAAGCAGTACAGCAACAACGCAATTCCCATCCGGGTCTTAAAAGCATCACTCCAACCCAAATCCCTTTGACATTAAAGCTCCCATCGGGTTTCTATAAAGACCGCATCACCAATCGTAATATAAAGGATAAAACCCACATACCCCAGACCTCCAGATGGAGAATTTAAATATATACTGGTTTTAAAGACATCCACCACTCAGTCTCTCTCTGGGGGTTACATTTTACCTAACTTTAAGGTGACCCAAAGGGCCATTATTAGGGCTATCATTAAAATCTGCCAAAAGTGAACTATAGTAAAAACAGAATCGTAGGAAAGTAGTAAGGCTGGATGGGACTTCAGAAGTTCATCTACTCCCATCCCCTGCTCAAAGCAGAAGTCTGGTAGTTTGAATTTTTCCCAGGAAAAGGGAGGAAAGTCTATTGCTTAAGTCAGTAATGTTCAGCCTTCTGTCCCTGTATGTCAGGTGAGTGGCACGGGGCTAGTCCAGGCTGGATGCCACATGTGGAGTCAGCACTTGGGTGTGATCCTGTGAATGGGACTAACCCCATAAACCAGATTCAGTCATGGAATGAGCCCATGCGCCAGCCCCACTGTGGACTAGTGCACAGGGCCATGTCCAGCTCACAGGCAATTTGGCAGCATTACTTGCCGCTCCCCTGCTGCCACCACTCCCCTACTGCCAAATTTTCAGGCCCCACTGGCCTGATGGCAGAGCATGCAAGCTGGAAGTCAAGCAGCACTGGCTTAAATCCTAAGAGAAGACAAACCCAGTCTTTAGCTGGGCTGGAAGGAGGTTATTAATACATTAGTCCTTATATTTAATAATTTCACAAGGTGACATGGGTACAAAAAGGTGGAGCTTGTTGCTAAGATTTGCAGACAACAAAGTTGGAAGACGCATTGCCAATAAGGAGGACGGGAATATTCGACAGAGGGAATCAGATGACCTTGAAGCCTGGAAAAAGGTAAGCAGGATGACATGCAGTAGTTCATGGTCATGCACTTACTAAGTAATAAGAATTGCTGGGAGCTCATCATTTGGAAACAGTTAAAGACTAGAAATACCTGGGGGTATGTGTCAAGCATGACCTGACTAAAAGCCACCAGTGGTATAGGTCATGAAAAAGGCAAATGTGGCCTCGGATGCATCAGACAAGGTATTTCTAGTAGATAGTGGGACAGTAATGATGCTGTACAAGGAACTAGTCAGACCTCCACAAACACTCTTTTCAATTCTGCTGAGCTATGTTTAAGAAAGATGCATTCACAGTGGAAGGGAGTCAGTGAAAAGTTTCTCGGATGAACAGGGGAATGGATGGACCAATCTGCGAGAAGAAACTAAAATTGCTTGGCGTGTTTGAGCTGAGTGAAGGCTGAGAAGGGATACGTTCGTTCTCTATATGGTAAAGGATTTAAAACAAGGGAGAGAAAGGGACTATTTAAGCTAAAGGACAATACTGATACAAAAGCACATGGGTATGAATGGCTATGATGATTTAGAAATTAAAAAGTTTTGGCACCTCAGAGCCATGTAGACCTCCAACAGGAACAGTGGGATGAAAACCAGAATGACTTCACAGGGAGTTGGATCAGCTTATGAATTAAATGCCACAGGGTCTGAGATGGCAGGGGGCTGGACCCAATGACTAAGGAGGGTTCTCCCAGTCTTGTGCTCCTATAAAATAAAGGGGAAGTGTAGCAGGTGTAAAGTGATGCACAGACCAGGACCTTAAATAGGCAAAAAAAAAAAAAATGTATAGTTACTCACTGAGGGGCAGCACAGGATTCCACAATGCTTTGCTTTCTACCTGTTAAATCTAAATCACCAAAAGCATATTAAACAGATTTATGACTTTCCATGAGCAACTGAAGGGAAATGGCACGACATGTTCTTCTCATCGCATCATCCTTCCGACTCCAACGTGGTTTCTCACTTGCCTCTTGCACACTGGTTTGTGTGATCTCAAAACAGCCACATCAAGGCAGTAAACCCAAGCAATTCGGAGTTGAATTGCTTTGCTTGGTTCTCTTGGATCCGTTCCATCCCCTCCCTTAAGTTACCATTTCACAAATACACCACACCCTCCCCCAGTAGCTGGCTTAATCTTAATTTTAAGGCAAATTGTAAACACAGATGACTAATCACCTCCAGGAGAACACAACCAAAGGATGTGGGGGTGGTGTCAATGAGTCAATGGTCTCAAGCAGTCTTTTAGAACACAGTCTGCACAGGAACACGCTGAAGTCTTGCTAAGCCCGGCTCCCAGGATAAACGTGGGTCCTTGGAAATACATGGCAGAGTCTGAGTTCAACATGAGGAGGAAATTATTCCTATTTTTACCTAAGATCACTGAGTGTACAACCTGTTGTTAATGATTCAGCATTTGGGAGCTAGCTGCTCTTTCCCCTACTTGGAAAAAAGAAAAGAAAATTGCAGCCATGCTTCAGTGACATTTTAGGAGACAAATCAATAGCAGTTGTCATTCAGAGAGTGCGGCCACAAGACCGGGGAAAAATGAACAAACAGCATTTCAACAAGACACAGAAGTATTTACAGTTGCTTCAGTGAAACAAACCAACCTTTCAATCCACTTACCAAAGCACAAATGAAACATTTTCAGAAATTAAGAAATTATTCTGCCTCCAAAGGATTTTATTAGGAGGAACCTCCCTCCCCCAAATTGGAGCTGACCTGTTAGCTCTCACTGACGTTGTGTGTTGTCCCAGGAATCACGTTTCCTGTAAAGCCTAGTGGCAACATGAATTGAAACAGAAGGCAAGAGTTCAATATGGAGGTGGTATGTCCAGTGTTGTATGCCTTACCATAAGTCTAAGCTTTGGGTATCTTCTGGTAATGAAGAAAGTAAATTAAAAAAAAAAACGCTATGAGAGAGAGAAATGGTCAGAAGAACAGACATTCACAGACATTGCACCGTTTTGGTGCAAGCCTCAGAAAGGTTAAGAACTGAAATGGTATGAAGGTACCTGTGGGCTCCTACTCACATGCAGGGAGCTTGCTCTGGCATGCTGGAAATCCAGCGCATTGGAGCAGACTTGATTAAGGGAGTTAATTAAGACTCGATTAATCGAGTCTCCTGGAACACAGAAATTAACAGGCTCCGCAGCCTTGCACACCATGTCAGTGTTGCTGTGTGTCTCTGCACTGACAAGATGGTAGTGGGGCGCTTTGAAATAAAACACGTCCAATGAGCTTCAGTTCAAAGTGCCCTGCCGCCGTTTTTTCAGTGCAGGGACATGTGGCGACACTGATGCATATGATGTGTGGGCGCTTTTAATTAGAGTGGCTTGCTAATTAAAGGGCTGAGTGCCACGTCCAGGAACACAGGCAAAAATGCCCTTCATTGGTATTTAACGGGCCTGGTCCATATCACTACTTTACCCAGGAACCTCCTCATCCGATATAGATGCCCATACTAAACAGAATTTTCCACTGCATGATTTGACTTGTAAAAGCAGCAGGTCTTCCCCTTTTTCCCCAAAACCTCATAGGTGTGGCCAGGCCTAAGTACAGGCAGCTCACTTAAAGAAGAGACCTTTGCATTTAGTTCTGAAGGGGCGAGGAGTCCCGGACATATTTATCTCCTCCTGGAATAAGTTCTACAGGCCGCATTTGATTCCCAGGGAAGTTCCTGCAGTTTCACAAGTCCAACATGATGTTGTTATGGGTGGCCACAGCCACAGAAGAAAAGATGTGCTTTCAGATAGCTGGGGAAAGTCCTGGGTAAGGCATGGAGTATCAGCCTTGTACCTTGGAGTGTCAAGAGACACTGAGCTGTATTTTCATCTATAGAGGGAGTCTCAGCAGATAAATCTGAAGTTGGGTAGAAGGCACATGGCCAGGTAGAAAGCTGCATTTTTAATACCCATATCTAGCTAGGTCCTGTAGGTATTTAGTATCCAGTGCCTGTAAATCAGTGAACACCAACCAGTGGATCTTGATCCACCAGTAGATCTTGGAGCCTTTTGCGGTAGATCTTGGGAGCATCTTGGAGTCTATCTAAGGCTGGGGTTGCGGGCTGAGTACACGTGTGCCCCAACCCAGCAGGTCAGTCCGTGGGGGAGGGAAGGGGCGGAGGTTAGATTGAGGCCCCCACGGTGAGGGACAGTGCTGCAAAGGCAGGACTGGGGTAAGTTGAGTGAGGCCCCAGCTGGGTTGGACTTACCTGCCAGGGAGGCACACCCCCAAACTATTTTTTCTCCCTTGATCTGCCCCCCACCCTTCCCCCTCCACAGACTTATCTGCTCTGTGTGTGGGGGGGGGGCACACAATAGATCTTGGGTTGCTTTTAAATGCCAAAAGGTATTTACTTAAGAAGGCTGGAGACCACTGCTATAAATCAACTTCCACCAGTGCTATAATCCAAAATGGTCATACTGGACTGCATCTGAAGTAAAGGGATGCCTTTGGGATCAGGAAAAAAACCAAACACCACAACATACATCTATCTATCAAGGAAGATGTTAAAAGGAGGGAATAGGACTGAATTCTGAAACTATAGAACCAAATTTCAGAACTTAGTCTTTATTTTATGGACATGCAAAGTATCAACACATGAAGTGAAAGTAGAAAAAAATCCCACACAAGATAATATTGTTTAAATAATACACTCTATTTTATTTTATTTTGTCTTAAAATAGTTTAACCTTTATGCTACAGACTTGTTTCAAAAACAGAAGGTCTCATCTTGCACCAAAAATATATATATTTATATATATTTATATATATAACACTCTTTTATTATTATTTTTTTCTCCAAAGACCATTAAATACTAGATGGAAAAGAGAACTAAATAATGAGTGTCAAGAAGAACCAAATTTTTAACTCGAGTTGCACATTTCAACATTTAACTCTAAGCAATGATTTGTCTTCACTACAGAAGATTCCAAGTTCAAACTCCAGCAAGAGGAACTGCCGAACCATAAAAGGCTTGAGCCAATGCACACTGAAATGAATGGAAAAGCTCACCATTGACTTCAATGGGTTTTGGATCAGGCCCCAAGTGCATTGGTTCTTAGCCATACAATGGCTAATATTTCACTTTCCTGTTGAGAGGAGCAAAAAAAATGTCGAGGCACAACTTGCTCCCCCTAAAAAAAAAAATCCTATCCCTCCTCCACCCACCCCCAAAAAAACGAAGAAAAAGAAACAGGTCTTAGCTATCCAGTGATTGTGGTTTTCAGATCAATACCCTTTAAAATTTAAGAGTCAAAGAAATATGTAGTGTCTTAAATAAAAGAAAACCGGCATCAGGCTAAAATACGTGATTTGTTTAAACAAACACAGTGCACAATTGGAGGAAGTTTAGTTAGGACGCAGTCATTTTTATATACACATGGAAGTCACATCATATACAAACTGAAAACAGAATTAGTTTGCATTTTTTTTTTAATGGAAGGACTATGAATAGGTCCCTGCAGCTTTCTTAGAAACTGAGCTTTAAAAGACAACTTCATGAAACAGTGAAAAGCAGCCAAACTAAATCAACTTTCCAAGTTAATTTACTTTATGATGCCAGTTTGCTAAAATGATGGAAGAGTTATGCAATTAGCAAGCTATCATAAAAAGATCAATAGCCACTATTACTATAGTGTGCCAGGATTACAGACTTCTCTCTATTGCAGTGAGTAGGGATCACATTCACTCCACTCCCTCCCAGCCCCAAACAAAGACACAAAAGTGAGAAGTACCAAGTACTTCAGGTTATGGGCATGCAATACACTGATCACAGTATAATTGTTTCAGAAACCATTAGGCCAGGACACAAATTTGTTACCAAGGTATTCTTTAAAGTGCAGTCATAACTTTTCCACTTTTTGAAGAAAAGAAACATTGTTATTAAATATATTCAATCAATTTAAAAAAGAAATTGTGCCACCAAAAAGAAAACTTGTCAAATATGCAGATTTTTGCAAGCCAAGCAAACTGTGTCCTGCCCAAACTAATGCTAAATGAAAATAGGATGCAAGTTGTCCCATCTGTCATATGGTTTAACCCCTAGGTGGTAAAACCCCCCATGTCTGCACTGTAAAAAATGCATTTAAAGCATTTCGATCAGAAAATGATACATTTTAATTGCACAGGCGATGTTTAAAGTGGATGCCTTCTTATTTTTAGTCTTTGGTTTTTGCCTTGAACAAGAGTCACTTTAACAGATTAAGGGCCAGAAATGCCAATACTCACTACAAGGACTACAGCTGAAGAATGAGCTATCCATTTTTTTTTATTTTTATTTTTTTTGCTGTAGTAAGCTCCACAATCTAATAGCAAGTGTTTCCAGGATGAGACCCTGAAGGGAGATTCCAAAACTATCGAGGCTTGGCCTGGAGGTTACGAGAACAGGGCAGAACTGCCTAGAACAAAGGCTGACAACTTCTGCCTACAACAAAGGATGACAACTTTTGGCCTCGGTCCTACAAAATACTTTAGTATCAGCCATAGTTTCACACATTTGAGCAGCCCACTGACTCCAAGGCGGGTTACTTCAGGGCTTCAAGTTACACATCTGGTAAAGTACTTGACTGGAATGGGGCCTTACAGGATTTGAAGAAAGGGAAAGGAAACAAGAGAGGGAAGCACGAGAAAACGTTCCAGAAAGAGGAGGACTGGGAGAGACAGTTAAAAAACAAGATCTTAAAATGCCAGGTATACGGCTTTTTTAAAAATGGGCATGGAGGGCTCAGCCTTTTTATGATGCTCTACTTTCTTACACTTTGCGATGATCAGCTGCTCTGAAGTCACTATTAAAAAAATACACAAGAGGCATGAAATGACCAGTAAAGCACAGCAGTCAGGTAGACAGAAGACTAGAAGCACTGACTAGCATGTAAACTATAAATTATGTAGAAAATGAAAACCCCATTTAATTAAAAAGCTGTCTCAGTGCACGTCATGGGCCTTTTGTATCAAACGACCAAATCAGCCTGGATATAAAATACTCTTGGCCCTATTTTCAGAAATGCTGAGCACCTGCAGTTCCAGTGAAGTTAACAGGGCCCCAGCACTGCTTAAACTTACTGATGCTCACACAGCAAAACCACTAACTTCTACAAACAAAATCAATGTATTGATAAATTTAAATAATTTTGATGTCAGAGATGGGAGAGGGTGGGAGGCCGCAACTGTATACACAATTATTTCTTCAGATTCACACGCACACATTATGCATATCTGTAGTTGTCATTTAAATTCAGTGCTACCAAGTTTTCATACTGGGAAAAATCTTCCTTTGAGAAGGTAAGTGATATTAAAATTACACTGCATTCTTATGGAAAACCAACTTCTCCATGAGTTTGGATTCCTAACGCCAGGAACAAGGCTTCTGAAGCTGAAGCTATAACAATGAACTTCTGGGCCACAAAGGGGAAGGGCAGGGGCAAAAACACAGTGACATTGCATTACAGTAGATATTTGCGCCTGGTGTCCTCATCCAATGTGAGATCAACTACTTCTGGGGGTGAAGACCAATTCTGCTGGGGGGTCACAGCTGTCCATGATTGTGTTTGCCGAGTGCTAATGTACTGCGAGCCTGAGCCATGCTTCCAGGAAGACACGCTCTGAATCACCCCTCCCCGAGGGTGTACACACCTGCAGCAAAACAAAGAGCACCAATATTAGCACTACTATCAGTGTTCCATGCAAGTCTCAGCTGCAATGTTTCAAGGGGTTAATTTACACATGATTAATATACACCTCTCTCCAAAATTTGATCTCACGCTTTTCCATTTGTGAGCTTGCTCACAGGACTTGCTACAGCTTTTCAACACATGCTGACCTGAAAGCCCTTGACCGTGAGACCAAAAAATAAATAACTTCTGCCAGTGGATATGAGTGAGGCCCTGATAAAGTCACTGGGAACCATGCATGCCTCTTACAAGACATAATCTGCCCAACAGCACGTGGCATCATGATCTAGTCAGAAACCTACCAAGTCTTGGGGCAAAGAAACAGTTTGTCTGCTGGGAACTCCAGCCTGGGGGCTGGCCCCGGACTTCAAGGGAATTTTTCTATGGTGCAAACCATGACAAGAAAAAGAAAGAACATTTCCATTTATGAAAACAGGTCCCTATTAACAGAGGACATAATTGTCTTTATATTACATATATTACCATTATTACAGATGACAAGTAACTATGTGTTGTATTTATTTTTAAAAATAAAGCCATTCCCTTTGTTCGACTTAATTCAAGATTGCCAACATCTGGGCAAATACCAGTTTACCGTACTGAACAAATCTAAGGTCCTAATTCAGCAAATCACTTCTGCTTGTAATCATTCAAGTAAATGAGACTTCATCATGTTTAAAATTAAATACATGCTTGAACACTTTAAATCACACTTCAATTATGCTAATTTGCATCTTACTTCTCACTGTTATAGTGCATGTGGGTATGTGTCATGAGAAGTGGTCATAATTAGGAAGAAACTAGAAAACGGATGATATGCGATTGGCACTCTTTTAGGATTGTCACATCATTCACTGGCAGTGTTCTTAAATAAGTGCTAGTAAAACCTTCATCCCATCCTGCTGTTTATTACAACGTGTGCATACAGACATACATATGCATGCGTGCTTGTTTTCAATTTTAAATGATGCAGTTTGGAAAAAAATTCTCACAACAGCTCAGGTTACATTTCCCACTCTTCTCTAAGGGGGGAGGTTGAGATTTTTCTAATTCTGCTTGGTGACAATCTTCCTTTGCTTCAAAATAATTTTAAGATAAATCAGATCTCCTTTACCACTCTTTAAAATATCAGAACGCAGCATTCATCTACCCTATTCTTCTTTTAATATGCTATTTAGCTATATAAAAGCTCAGGATGGCTTCTCAAGCTATTGCTTTCCTCATGTATTCTGGGGACCAATAATAGCTATCTGAAGTACCCTGTATGCAGTGGAAGGTATGAGTTCATACCCAGTATTTAGGATTTTTTTTTTTAAAATGCTTTTAGTCATAATATAGTGGCCAAAGAAAATGTATTGTATGATACTGGAATGCGTCCCTAGGACCACCGTTACAATGCAGCATCCCGGTGTAAAACAACAGCTTCTTCAGCACCTAAAACCCCGAAGTATCTTCTCCCCCTGAAGATGATAAATCTGTCTATGAAATGCTGCATAGAAATGATACTTAACCAAAACAACAACAAAAAAGTCATACCCTTGACCAATTCACACAAAGCAGCCAAGAGCAAAAGGTTCAATCAAACATAGCTCAAGAAACATGCTTTCCAACTTGTGGCTAAGGTGGAGACATCTTCAAGTAAAAGGCAACAAACCAAAACAGGGAGAAACAATGGAAGATTGTTTTACATACATGCATGAAAATAAATCTATTAAACAAAATTAAACAAAACTCAACAAAAACAGCACATGACTATCAAAAGGGCTGTGTTCTACGAAATGCCCAATAGTTTTGAATGACGAAAATCACCACCAACTCGCTAAGAATCTGGAAAATGACAAATGAAGGAGACACAAACTCAAGAGTTTAATATCCCACACCAATTCAGCAACAATATGGAAGATGAAGCACATAAAAAATAAACAGTGTAAGCAACAGAACTGAATCCAAATCTCTCAAGAAGCATGCAACAAGTACTGATCAAAAACCTAAAACCTTTTCCAAATGACAACCCTGCCAGAAGCCCATCAATACTTCATAACTGCAAGCCTAGACCTGAAAGAGAAATAAAATTCTAAATAGGATACAAACAACCACAAGATGCAACTTTCAAGAGGAACCGATGAGATACGGTCTCCCCAGACATGGCAAAATGGTGATGAGCACAAAGGAAAAATGCAGCTGAAGATGACTCAAGTAAAAAAGAAGCGTGAAATGAGTTTCTAACCAGTCTCTATTGTTGAAGAGCCTGGAATTGCACCCCTGCATGAACAACCCGATGCCCACTAAGTGTAGCGTTCACCAGTAACTGTGTATTGAATCAAGACAGGAATCCTCACACTGTTTTGTCTCAACAGCATTTACCAATACTCATGCAAACGAGTAAATGGCATTGGTAAGTCCTCTACTACAAGTAAGTTTTCACATGGAGTACATGTACTGGATGAAATTCAACTGGGACAGTGCCTACAGAATTCATCTACTCCCAAGGAGGACAAACCCCAAGAGGTTTCTCAACACGCGGTAAGACTCTGTTATTCTTATATTCCTCCCCACCCCAAATGCCACAGGGCTACATTGTGTCCAGGACCATAAAGGACACAATGTGGATGCTGCACATTGGATATTTCCTTCCCAGCCCTGTGAAGAAGTAGCACGGTACAGAGCTCTGGTTATGTTGCTCCTGCCATGACACATCCCTGCCCACCCCACCCCAGCCACAGGCTGCCTATGCATGTTCCAGGCAGCACTTTGTGTACACAATTCATACTGTGTGTGCACAATTCATAGACTGTAGTCAGAAGGGACCACAAAGGATCACTATGTCTGACTCCCTGCCCTTGGCAGCAAAGAGGACCAAGGTCAGACGACCCCAGCCAGGTGTCTATCAAGCCTCCTCTTAAAGACCTCAAAGTTAGGTGACAGTACCACCTCTATTAGAGGCCCGTTCCAGATTCTGGCCACCCTCACTGTAAAAAATTTCTTTCTAATGTCTAACCTGAATCTACTCTCCACTAGTTTGCAGCCATCATTCCTAGTTACTCCTAGGGGTGCTCTGATAAATAGCGCATCTCCACTTCCCTGTTGTCCTCCCTTGATAAACATATAGGCAGCTACAAGTTCTCCCCTCAGACGTTTCTTGTGGAGGCTGAAGAGATCCAGATTCCTCAACCTCCCCTCGTAGGGTCTTGCACAGAGGTCACTAATCATGTGAGTGGCCCTCTGAACCCTCTCCAGATTCTCCGTGTCCCTCTTGAAGTGCAGCACCCAGAACTGGACAGTCCTCCAACTGCGGCCTGACCGGTGCCGCATAGAGGGGGAGCACCACCTCCCTCGATCTGTTGGTCATGCATCTACTAATATATGACAAGGTGCACTTGGCTTTGTTGATGGCTTCATTACACTGCCGGCTCATGTTCGTCTTGGAGTCAACGATGACTACAAGATCCCTCTCAGCCGTGGAGGAGGTCATTCCCCAACCTGTAGGTGTGCTGGGGATTCCTCCTCCCTAGGTGGAGAACCTTACATTTATCTTTGTTGAACTGCATCCTATTTCTTTCTGCCCATTGATCCAATCTGTCCAAATCGGCCTGTTTCTGCTCCCTGCCCTCCGGTGTGTTAACTCTGCCCCATAGCTTAGTATCATCTGTGAACCTGGAGAGGGTGCTCCTATTCCTATGAAAATAGGATGCGAAACTGTATTGAAGACGACCTTCTTAAAGTCCAGGTAGATGACATCAGCCTCAGCTCCTGTATCAAGGCAGTGTGTGACCTGGTCATAAAAGGCTGTAAGGTTTGCCAGGCAGGATCTACTTGTGATGAACCCATGCTGGTTTCCTTCCAGCATCATTTTCCCTGCTGGGCCTTCACAAATGTGCTCTTTGACGACTTTTCCAGTATTTTCCCAAAAATAGAGGTAAGACTGACTGGCCTAAAGTTACCCAGCCCATCCCTTCTCCCCTTCTTAAAAATGGGCACCACACTGGCCCTTTTCCAATCCTCAGGGACCTGGCCGGAGTACCATGAGTGCCCAAACAGCCATGCCAGCAGCTCAGATATAACACTGGCCAAGTCCTTCAGCACCCGTGGATGGAGGTAGTCTGGGCCGGCTGACTTGTACCCATCCAGCCCCTCCAAGTGCTCCTTAATTAAGTCAGCACTAACCTTTGGCAGTCTGGTGCCTTTTGGACATCTGGCTATGTTCAAGGTGGGGGGATTGTCTTGGTCAGTACTCAGGAATACTGAAGCAAAGAATTCATTGAAGAGGTCTGCCTTTTTCCTTGCGTTAACCACCAACTGTCCTGATTTGTCCTGCAGGGGCCCTATGTTACTCTGTGCCTTCCTTTTGCTCGCTATGCATCTGTAGAAGGACTTTTTATTGTCCTTGATTGTTGTAGCCAGCCTAAGCTCCAGTCATGCCCTGGCCTGCCTAACTGATTCCCTGCACAACCTCAATCGTGTTTTACCAATTCAGCTCCATGGGCTGAAAAAAAGGCATGTCTATGCCCCAATCTTAACAGCCTTATGGGACCCTGAACCAACTAAATGGTGAAAGGAAGCACGAAAAGGAAAGGGATAAGTGAAGCTTAAATTCAAACATGGCAGCGAGGCCACCTGAGGAACGTTATGATCCTAAACTCTGATCTCCAGATGGGACTGGCCTGCATCTTCAAATACAATTAACATCCATACGCGTTTGTTAAATTTAAGATCCAGCCGGCCTCCTTACATTTACAACATTAACTGTCATGGTGCATACAGCCTTCCTCCTTCTTAAAATAAGGAATTAAATCCAATATCCTGACATCTCTTAATACACATTGTTTAAAGGGAACCAACTGTAAAAAACACACATACATACTTGCACATGGGAAGCCCTTAAAAACACAAAACACTGTCTAACCTATTAATGTTTTTATATGCACAGAGATGAATTAAGCAAGTGATTCCAGTAGCAGCAATACTTAGCCTATTAGTGTATCTGATATCAAACCAAACACTTAATGTGGAAAAAAATTACAAGACTAAAGAAAGTAGGCACTTTAGTATCAAAGTGATGGGCAAAGCACAGGAACAGCATATCTTTTGGACTTCTGGCATCAGTCATGGTTGAAGAGCTGTAACACTACAATTCAGCCTGCATTTTCCTTCCTCATTTATTTTGCCTATTCAAGTCCTATGATAAAATGAAGGACTCCACATCAAAAGGAAAAAAAAAAATGAGTACCTTGCATGCTCCTGAACTCCCACAATCTCCACTTCACTATCAGAAGAGGCAATGTTAATTTCTTCATTGATCTGGGCATTGCCACAAGAGGTCTTTTCGCTTGCTAGGAATCCTGGATCCAAGTGGCCTGTACAGAAGGAAAATACAAACAGACCCAGAATTTTAACATCCTTCACAACTTGCAAATCCATTGGTGAAAAATATTTCTCCTCAAGCTAAGCACAAATCAAAGTATCTAAGACTGGAAAGACCAGTTAGATCAGCCTGTGCTGTTCTCTGCTAAAGCAGGAGAGCTTTGATATTGGATATTCACAGGATTTGTCAAATGGGGTTTTTAATGGTTTTGGCCAGGGCTGTCTAACTTCTCCTGGTACAGGGACCAGTGTGAGCCAAGTGCCTCCCACAGGGGTATCCCCCACCACTGCACTGTACACGGACAGTGCGGGCTTCCCCACCCCCACCCCAACCTACTGCAACCAGAGCTATAGGGGTACAGGGGGAGCCCAGGGCCTGTAGATTAACCCCTTGGGGGCTACATTCAGCCCAAAGGCCACCAGTTGGACATCCCCGTTTAGGCAATGAAGCTGTCACATAACCATAAATAATACCTAATATTAGTGTATCAAAAGCTTCTCATCTCTAAAAGAATTAGGTTCTTTGCCTGTAATACATTACAAATACTTACCCCCTTTACTACCTGGAGACAAACTACATCCAGGCCAAAATGTATCTTATGCTAAAGGAGGGAAAGATTCTGACTGCCAGTGCCTTCCAGCAGGAAAGCCGTCTTGGCTAGGTCTCAAACTCTCTCCTAGGATTTCACCCCACGACTCTATTCCACTGTCCAGCTGGGGAGGAGTCTTCTCTAGGATGCAACTAGTAGTCTGTCCTGCCTGTTTGAACCACGCTAAGGTATAACCAGTTCTCCAAGGGCTTGGAGGTTTTCTAAACAGTACAGTTAGATGCCCCAGATTAGCTGTTTAGCTTAGCTGCCCCTTCCTCCTCCTCCATTTCCCCCTTAGCTGGTGGTCAGCTAAGCTAAACACCAAACCTGGGGCACCTAGCCAACAAACAAGCAGTTTTGTGCTGAAAACTTTCTTCTAGCCACTCCACCACATTCTGCCATCTTTAAGCTGTTGCTACAAAACCAGCTATGCTCAGCAGAAACCAGGACTCGTTCCATATAAGACTGTCTGATGGTTTAGGAAAAGTTGGTCATCTCAAATAGTTATTCCTAGGAGACAGGGGTCTTCCTAATGAAAACAAAATCACCATATTTGACCTTTATAGGTCTTATAAAAAAAGAGACATGAAAACTGAACAGAGGTGACCTAACAAAACGTGAAGGAGATGCGGAATGCAAAACTCTAGAACTCTTGGTTCAGAGATGATACCTTGTATTAGACCAACTGAGAAACTGCAAAAGAATATATCTTTTTCTGCAAGCTTTTGGGCTCACACACCCTTCATCAAGCTCAGGGAAAGTTAAAGATAGTAAAATCCCCATATCTAGGAAATCACCTTCATTTTTGCACAGAAGCAGCTGAAGCTGGAAATCTGTCCCTCTGGGTCCATGAGAGTAGAGATGCGGACACACTTATAATGGCTACCACCTGCCTGCATCTTCCATGGGGATAATGAAGATTTGGACTGTTACAGAACTTGTTATTAGCAATGAATTTATTTTAAAGGCGTTTAAGAGGAAACATGATGCTAAATATACAGTAGTAGTTTTTACTGGCGTCATGCTTGCATGAAAATAATTCAGGTATTTTTATTACAAATGGCCCTGTAGACTTCAGAAGTACAGTCTGAATAATATAGGGCAAGAGATGCATTAGAAATATGCAATATACAAAGCTATTTCTGGGGATTCGATTTGAAAAAACAAGTGCTTTTATACAAGTTTTGTAAAGATCTGTGAAGGGCAGAGTTGTTGTTTTAATAGGCTCCCTCAGGGATTATTCATTTGAGGGATTCATTAAGGAGACCGTAAGTAGAAAGCGGTGAGGTTTTATATCCCCTGCCACGTGCTACATTAACAATGCACAGCAGACAAAGCCCTAACTCTAAATGGAACACACTGAATCTTACAGTGAAGCTTTGTTTTAGAGATATTAGATAACAAACGCACAGAAACACCTAAGAGAGATAGTCGGACCCAAAAAGCCTTTGGTACTATGGTGATAGATCCCATAAAAGATCAACTACTCCCAGTCACCAAGGAAAATTAAAGTCTGTATCTCTTAAGTGCTTAGCAGTGATCTGAGGATGTTGGACAGCCTTGAAGAAAAAAGCTTGCTTTTTCTATTGTGTAAGGAAGTAGCTCACACAACTGTATCATTCAACAAGAGGAGTATATAAAGGAAAAATAATCAGACAGGATATCTAGCTTGGCTGACAACCAGCTAAAAAGGAAAATGGAGGAGGGGCAGGAAGAGGATGAGACATCATAACTTTTACCAATAAGCAAGCCTAAGCACTCATAGAACTTGTACTTTAGGGTGGTGCAAGAAGTAAATAAGCTTGGAGCAAGAAGGAATTACATTTAGGATGAACACCTGAGAAAACCTGCTAATAGTGAAGTCTATTAAGACAGTGGAATAACATCTTGGGGGTCTGTTGGAAACCACACCACTGGAAGTTTTTTAAAAAGTGGCCAAGACAAAATACAAGGCCAGAGAACACACCAATGGAAATAACCCTGCTCTGTCGGGGGGGGAACAGATTAGATAACCTAATAAAGTTTCTCTATCTTTCATGTCTATGACTGAATTTGGGTGGCTACCTCACCATACTTAATGAGACTGACCCAGCCTCCTTGGTCACAGCTTTTGGGATGACTTGCGAATAGGGTTAGAAAGGGAAGGAAAGTCCTGGCCTCAGACACATATGGGGGGCTTCCACCTCATAAATGTATAAAATATAAAGAAAAAAGACAAGTTGTAAGCTGCCTTTAAATGAGTAAATAGTCAAGGCTGAATACTCTCTTCATTCAAGTCCAATTGGGCATCCCTAAGAAAGTGTTAACAGATTGCCAGCAATCCCAAATATTGGACTGTAAATGCATAATTTTTCAGCTAAAAGTGGCTGGCATGTTGTGAAGCATGAAACGGAAGTGCCAAGGAACAGGGTTAGATAAGACCACTGGATTATCAACTCCAAACACACAGACCTGAAAGAAGCTGGCAACAGTGAAACCATGATTAGCACAAGCAATAGAAGAAGATGCACCTCCATCAGAAGTAGGGGTACAAATCAGGATTGTGGCAAACAGGATAAACCATATCTAGGAAGCGCAAGTCTAGCACACAAATTCTATGCCTAGTAACATACCTAGTCTGCTAATGTCTTGCTTTCCTTAGCATCAGGTGGACGTGCACAAGAGGTATTTTGTTTACCATCCAAGGACAGCATTTGCAGAAGCGCCCAAAATATTTGCTTAGCCACAACTTCCTAGGAGTCGCACATAGTCCTGCACCTTCCCTGCAGTGGCCCTGACAGTGGGAGGAGGTGGCGGTGTAGGAGAAATAGCAGCCAGAGATTCACTGCTGTGAGAGAGTGGTGACAGGGAACAGGATGCAGGGACATCACCTCCTTTGTTTTTGCAACAAAAAACTGGTGGTCTGCGTCATGGTGGGGAGGATGTCACCCTGTGCAGAAATAAAGCTCTGGCCACTGATCTGAACTGCGCACCAACACTAAAAAGCTGATGGAGAATAGGTTTAGGTTAGAGATCAGAAGGCAATATTTTACAGTTAGGGCAGCCAAAATCTGGAACCAACTTCCCAGGGAAGTGGTCCTTGCTCCTACCTTGGGCAAATTCAAGAGGAGGTTGGATGATCACCTGTCTGGGGGTCTTGTGAACCCAGCATTCATTCCTGCCTGTGGCAGGGGGTCAGGCTAGATGATCTGTTCAGGTCCCTCCTGACCCTAGCTACTATGAATCTACGAAACTTTCCAGGGAGCAATACTTGCCAGTTACGCCTCTGAATACATGGAAGCCACCAACTGTCCTGATTTTTCAGGAGAGTCCAGGATTTCAACGTTGTGTCTTAGTGTCCCCAAAGCCCCTTTTGTTCTGGATTTGGAAAGTTGATCCTGAATAGGTCAACTGTCCCCACTCCTCCAATCCTCACCAAGACTTTCCTGCAGCTCCAGGCTCCAGGCAGTGTCCTGTTGGATCTGCTCAGAGACAGGGCACAGTGCTACACAAAGTGTGGCTATACTGCTTTCTGTTTGGGGGGACAGCCATGAGATCTGCTTCTCAACACATGTAGCACTACACTGTGGCATGAACGCATGTGCATGAATGTGGCTATTACCACCTGCAGTTATTAGCCCTCCCGCAGCACTTCATTAAAACAGCCACACTAACTGAACAGAAGGTGGTATAGACTACTACCCAGAAAGCTGGTGGTTTTCTAGAAAGAGGCTGGATGAACACAAAGGCTACTTAAGGGGCTTGAAAATACTGTGTTCCAACTTAATCTGTCCTGGACACAACAGAAAAGGGCAGCAAGACAAGAAAACAGCAATTAGTTTATACAAGCTTTGGGACTTTGCAACTCTCCACCAAGTTCAGGAAAAAAAACACATTTTACATAGGTCCTCACTTGCCTTGCATTCACAATACTTCGAATTTTACTGTATATCCCTGACTTCAGTTAACTTAGAGCAGTGGTTCTCCATCTTTTTGGACTTATGGTACCTCCTTCATAATTTTTGTGAATTGAGTGGCAACTAGTTTCAAAATTAAAATGCATACATTATAGTGCTTATTCATGGATTGTTAGGGGCTGGAAGGGACCTTGCACATCACGTCCAGCCTCCCCGCTCTAGGCAGGAAGACAACCGGGGTTAGCTGACCTCAGCAAGGTGATTATCCAGTCTCCTCTTGAAAACCTCCAGGGTAGGTGATTGCACCACCTCTGGAGGGAGTTTATTCCAGTCCGGACACCCCGACTGTGAAGGAGCTTTTCCTGGTATTAAGCTTGAAGCGGCCTTCCAGGAGTTTATATCCATTGGTCCTGGTCTTCCTTAGGGTGCCCCAGTGAACAGTTGTTCACCGAGCTCCTGATGCACTCCTGATACAGCAGTAAGCCGCCATCAAGTCCCCTCTCAGCTTTCTCCTCTTTAGGCTAAAGAGACCCAGGTCCCCCAGCCTTTCCTTGTATGGCTCATCTTGGAAGTCCCCTGATCATATGGTGGCTCTGCTCTGGACCCTCTCAAGTTTTTCCACGTCCTTATTGAAGCACGGCAGCCAGAACTGGACGCAGTACTCCAACTACAGCCTCACCAGTGCTGAGCACACCGGGAGTATCACTTCCTTAGTTTTACATGAGATGCATCGGTTGATGCATGCCAGTGTTGTTTGCCCTGCTGGCCACTGCATTGCTTACTTCCTTGTAGAGGGGCCAGTGGGGGTGGGCAATCAGGCACGCAAGGACAAGCCTGAGTCTGCACTTGTCTGCTTATCTCCTCACAACCCCTGGCACCTTTCAAAGGATCTTATGGCGAGTCACTGACCTAGAGTTTTATGTTGATCAGCCTAGATTGTATGCACTTGTGCTGTTCCCACTTATTTGGAGAATTTTCAAAGACTTGCCTTTCCTGGAGCCTGATAAACACTGCAGAATACTTCAGAACTTGCCAAGGGATGGCAGCACGTGCAGTGTTGGTTTCACCCATGTTATTAGGTCACAGAAAAGAAAGCACCACAGACTCAGCATAGATCAGACCAAGAGTATCTTCTGTTTTTTAAATACAGAAAAATAATATGCAATTATGGGGCTGTTTCCACCTGAATGGAGACAACATCACTTCTACATTTTCTAGGTTTTCCTCATTTCATCTTCACATGTGACTGATTAAAAAGCTGAACAGTATTTGCACCCTGAATGTATTCAGAAACCATTTATAATCATCTGCCTTGAAAATACGTTTTAGAATCGCCACATAAAACCAAAGCTCCCAGCTCTCCACTATCAGGATAACCAAGGCTCCCTGCCGCAAGGAGCTAGAGACTTAAAAATACGAACAGGATGTGTGCCATACTATTCACCCCACACCTGCTTCCCTCTCTGTTCTCCTGCAACTACATTCCAGTACACTACACTTCATGTCTTTCAAGGGACTCAGTTTATTCTACGTAGCCCTAAATATTTCAACACTTATAGGTTAACAAAAGTTGACAAGGATAAATCTGTGTGGGGAAAGCCAGAGGTTTCAGTAGGCGACAAGGGACAACTGAGGCTATTGGCACAGAGGAAGATTTGGCACTGTGTACAGGAAGCAATTACGGTTTTTGGCACTTGGAAGGGAATACCTGTCTTCCTTGGATCTGCATTTTATGGCTATGGTGACTTTACATTTAATAAGAAATGCATGAATTACTTGTAACCTTCCCCAGCAAACCCTGAGAGCAACTGGATGCCCTACTGAACTGTCACAATATAGATACCAGTACATAGAACAAAGAGGAAGGCAGACTGAGGCTAGAAACAGATGTCAATGAAGCAGAACAGCTCTGCTGGGATGCGCCACGCCACAGTCAATCCATTTCACTGGGTGAAACATGTGATGCTGTTATCACACAGTATCAATGGGTGGGATGAAAGGCAAAGGAGCTCGAGAAGCCCAGTCCTAGGTGCCCCAGGAACTCCTGCGCAGTATTGTACCCCTCAAGCCCTGGGAGCATCTGCCTGGTTTTCCACTCTTTGAGATGACCCCAGGAACCGCTGCCTTTCCTCACTCTCAGAAATTTACCCCAAGAATCCCCAGGCGCTCCTCTGTGAGCAGGGAACTCTGGGCAGGTGCCTCTGGGGCCTGAGTGGGCCTGGTCCTGGGTGAGAATTTTCAGGGTATACAGGAAACAGCTCCTCAAGCCCCCAGAACACCTGCCTGGGGTGGCTGAAGAGGGCAGGCAGCTCCAGGTTGGTGGCACACTAGCACCATAAAATGAACAGACATCCACCATTACGTAGTGGTACAAACTGATACCACCTTTGCCATGGCCACAGACTTTGGGCATTCACGACATTGCAAGGGGCACAGACATCTGTTTGGTTGGTCTTTGTGCTGCCATAAAAGTGTTCATGACGGCACAAAGGCAATGAAAGGTGACATCTGTTTCCACCGTAAAGCAGAGGGTACGTCATCAGCTCATCCTGCAAAGTTTTCTTGCAACCATAAACAACCTAGAGAAATTTAATTTGCAAGTTTTTTAAATGAAACTTCAGTTGATGTAGCCCAGCCATATGGCAAACAGAACTGGCAAAAACTGCTCAGCCCACTCTCAGTGGCGCCTACAACTTTCCTCCCTGAACAAATGGTTCAACAAACCGAGAGTCTTCAAGCCTTCTGAGAGCAGAACAAGCTCTCCTCTCTGTTCTTTTCATATCATCACTCACCAGCAAGCTGCTCTTCCTGGTCAGTGGCTTGAAGACACACAACACCTTTCCTGCCCCTCATGCCTGGCCTCCCTCATCTTAAGCACAGACTTAATTTAATCATGATTACGTTTGACATGACTACTTAAGAGCTTAAAAGTTAAGTATGTGCTAGCTTGTTCTGTTGACCCTGGTGCAAAAATGCCTACTGCATTGCAGAATTCAAGTCTTTGGCTTTCAAAAGGTCTCATCCAAGAGAGGGACACATGCTACACTGTACTAGATTCACTTTATTTGCCACCAACAAATGAAGAGGCAAGTTAACCTTGCTGGGTTTTGCGTTTAGGAGTGTATTGAAAAACAAGCAAGCGTTTACGGGAGCAATTCAATTTTCATTAGAAACAGACTACAGTTATCCTCCGTATTACCTAGTCACATCTTACCTTACATTTAACTATAACATCTGCTCTTTTATTAGTTGCTGTTACATACAGAGGGCCTGCTACCATCACCTTTATTCATTCTGCATTGTCCCATGTATTAGGAGTCTTATTTATTTCAACAGAATTAGTTGTGGACCCAGAAAATACTCAGCATAATACAGGCTAGCAGAATTGGTGTCTAAATAAGAGCCAGGTCCATCCTAGATTAAAGTTTCTTCAGTATGACTGGCTGTACCATACATACTATAGCCACTGTTAGACCACTTGCATGCCACAACATCAGAGAAGGGTAATTTGGACAAACCTGCATCAGCATTCAGTTCCTCCAGCATCCCTCGGGTCCTCCAGGTAGGTCCCGTGTCCTGGTTTCCTACAGAATTATTGTGCTCTTGAACTACTGCAGCTGCCAAAAGCGTGTCCACGTTTACCACTTCTGGATCAGAGTTTGTGTCAGATATATCATAATGAGCTACAACTGGAGGTCCATCTGAGGAGGAAAAGAAAAGCAACGGATGTTAGATGTATACATGTTGGGAAAGACATTTTAGAACACAAATCACTAATTCTAGAAAGACTGCATTCTCCTAAATGGTCTCAAGGAACTGTCAGAGACAGGTAGGGCCATGATTCAGCTTCAGTTGGAGGAAGATATTCTAAGACCATAAAAACATTTTAAGCTTTGCATACAATAAGAAGATACTAAAAACAGACATGTAAGCTTGCCTTGTCATTGTCTATCAGTTATTCATATATTATCCTTTACATTGGCCCAGTCAAGTCTCCATATTTGACAATGTTACACTCACACTTCTAAAAGGATAAGAAGTTTCGGCTTAAGTAAGAAATAATATTCCAAGATATTCTGGCAGGACATTAAATTTGGCAAAAGAAAAATATTTACGGAGGTTTTTACTTTCTTTTTTTTTCTTTAAATAATTCAAATGACATCTTAACCTTGTTTAGGGGTTGATTTGGATGAAAAACTCTCTCTGATGTAACTGATTCAACTATGTTAAGTTTAACACTAGGCAAGTCTCCTCGCATAACATTCACCTGCCAAGGACACTGGAATTTTTCGAACCTGCAGTGTATTTTTTTCCATAGCTAAGTGCAATAAAACAAAATAAAAATTTACAAGAAAATACACTTTCTAATGTAGTTTTCTAATAAAAGTGATACATAGTGACAAACATGCTTTTAACATGGTATTTTCACAGTATGAATCTGCTCCCACCAAAAGAGGGATAGAGATTTTTAGGATCTTGCATCATATTATTGATAAACAAGAAAAAGAACGTTATTTTGATTATTTTTATGCTGAAGGCAGCAACTTTCTTTGAAAGAACTAGCATCTTCAAACTAAGGTCAAATTTAATTTAAAAGTTAATTTGAAAGCAAAAGGAGAAACAATAAAGAACGTAATTTGGAAGAGGTCCATGTTTTCATTCAAAGTAGCTCTCCCTCCCCTCCCCCCCCCACAGCTCTAATTTATGAGTCAAGAGAGGGCAGAGGGGAAAGAGTGAAATTCTGGCTCTACTGGAGTCCATGGTACAACTCCCATTGACTTCAATGGGTCCAGGATTTCATTTAATGCAATTACACATTTGAGATGTGTGAAAATACTAAAATAGTCTAAGCCAAGGCCTCAACTGCTGAAAGTTTTAATTCCACTAGTTTTAATGGATAATGTTATCGGAGTACCTGGTCCTTCATTTTCAGCATGTTATTCAAAGAAAGCTTCTACTAACATATTTTTTGTAGCACAGAAACCTTCTACATTATAAAACAAATAAAAAAGCGCTTCTCCAAAAGAAACATTTTTTCAGGAAACACTAGCATCTTCTAGGGGTACAACATGAAAAAGTGTTTGTTACCGGTTTGGGTGGGGGGGGTGAGGGAAAATCATTGTACAATCAAAGCTTAAAACTTGGGTCAGTGCACAGCTGTTTCCACCAGGGTCCGTTTTGTTTTTATTTGATTCTACGAAATGGATAATCCAATACAACAATTTTAAAAGAATTGTTTTGCAGGTGGCAACACACTTCATTGAAGCATGACACTATGGAGCTTGAACTCCAGTGAGGATCAGTTTTGCACCCTAACAGGATGGTGTTTCACAAATCATTTCAGGTCTGACCTGTCCCCGAATAAAGCACTGTTGTTATATTACAAACTTAAAACAGACAACATAAAAATAAATGGGTAGGTTAAATGTCAATGTATAAAAGAGCAAACATTTCACAACGTGAAACACTGATGATTACAACTGGAAAAAATCCTGATCTCTACTTGAAAGACAATTGTTTACTTTAAAAAGGTACGTAGAAAGTACAAGGTTACCAACTTTTGGATTAAGCTGCGTACTATTTGGTTTATTATTTTACAGACTTACACCTAGATTATACGCAAAAATTTACAATATGGGGAATAATTTCACAGTCTTTTTTATCATCAGAGTTCAGTGTGATATGGTATAAATATCTTATGGTTTATAAAATAAATACTTGAGTGCAGAAGATACGAGGGTCAAGTACAATATTGACTATTTGACCATGTTTTCAGGAGTTTATGAACTGAAATTTATGGAGCTGTGAATAATTCGCGTGGCATTTGATTTTTTTTTTTATTACTAATTTTTCTAACAGTACAAGCCAAATTTAGATGCATGTGCCTACACAAATCAAATTATATTTGAACAAAAGGCATCAACAGTCTCAAGTCAAAATTGTACCACTCCTACATGTATAATCATGCAAAAATGTATAATAAATGTATATACATGCAGAGTGATATTCTCATCACCTACCCATAGAAATAACTTGTGTGAAAGTCTTCATCAGTAGGAAATACAAGCATAAACTTGTTATCTGTAGCTCCACTCTTGTATCTTCCACACTTCCAAACAGCACACCTTATAACTTAGCTTAAATTTAGTATACAGCAAACAGACAGCAATATTTTCAATATAATTTACATACTGTCATTACATTTGTCACTTTAAATTTAAAGTATCTTGAAAACTCAAGTTAACAGAAGCTGAATGTTTACAAACCAGTCACACATTGGGAATAATTTTGCTTTTCTCAGCCTTGCCTTTCAAATCATATATGGAAATGAAAGACCCCTTTCATATCAGAGCTATCTAAACCTATCACACCACCAAATTACTCATTATGTCACCTTAATGACTACAATGCTCAAACAAAATCCTGAAAATTGTCAGCATGCATGAACGTGGTGATCAGCAATAGATGCCTGCATGCGATGTACTCATGAAAGTAAATGAACAAACAAAATTAATAGGGAACTTGAGATTTTCTGTTTAAAAACAATGCTAGGACTATAGCACTTTGAATATTTTTACTGTCCCAGAATTTTCTCTCCAGCTCTTAACACCGGAGACTAAAAGTAGCTGCAATCTGATGGCTTTCCGGGGCCTAGGTCAAATGAAAAGGTGGTTTTCTCAATCTGATTCCCAGCAGATAGGCATACCCTATCACCAAAACACTGCTTCAAATGGAACATCTCTGCTAGTTTCCATACTGGGAATCCGAATTCTACACTTCGGGTAATTATGAGCTAAACAACTGATCTGCCTGAAGCGAGAGATTCCTCTCTGTCCAAAAGGGTAGGAAATAAGGTCTATGTACCACTTGGGTCCCCTTTCAAAGGCTCGTGTTTCACAAGCCTTATGTGAATGCTCTTTATATCTGAGGGCCATGACTGGACCTACCTAGGTCCAAAGCTGTGCACCCCCTCACCACACCCTCCTGTCTTACTCTTTTTTTTCCCTACAAGGGTTGGAAGTTGCATGCAAGCTCCTATGCTTATTTTACATGACTGATTTCTGCAGAAATTACTCTTTGGACAGGTTTACATTGATGTTGCAACCCAAAGGAACATACATTGTCAACAAATTAGGACTACTGACTCTAGGTAAGGACTAAGATTTCTTCTTCCCCGACTATGAAATGGATGAGAGAAAAGAACTTGTGAAACAAAAACAGCACTTTTTTTTTTAATTCCATCTTGAGAACTGGACAGTTCATCTGGATTTTAAGAGATACTGAAACTGAAGCAGGCGATGACGCAATCAGAAATTACATTCTAGATACATGAGATGGGAGACTTTTTATAGTCAGACAATATGACAAACAAAAGAGCTTTTCTTTTCTCTGTAAAAAATCAGGTCTGCTGAGTCTTGATTTAGGTGAATTGGTGAAAAGTTACATTGGTGACAGGCTTAAAGTGATAAAGGTGAGAAAAGACAAGGCTGAACATTAACATATACCAACAACAAAATACAGCTGTTGACATTCAATGTCAACAGTACAAAAAATGAAGACTTTTCCTTTTGAAAACAGAGGTCATCACTAGGACAAAAACCATCAAGGGTCCCGTTCTGTTCTCAACTGTACAGTGTAAATCAGAATTAACGCTACTGCAGTCAAGGCAACTGCTATTAGATGTGGTCCCTAAACCTCTTTCTTTTGGCTCAAGTTTGCAACGCAGTTAACTCACTTCCTCAGATTTACTAATCAAATAAATATCTAACATCCTACCAGATCCCGAACACAGAAGACCAAACGCAGTTTATTCCCATTTAGCAGTAGTCTAATCCTCCGACTTGCTAAAACAGTATTCAACATGAGCAGAAGTATGATATGAACTTTTAAAAAAGTTCCAGTTGCAGGTAAAGTAATGGTTGCATATGAAATGCAGCCACATTTGTGGTAAAACAGCAGCTGTCCATCAACATCAACTAGACCGCACAAGTTCAGGATACGAAACAAAGGACATTGTACATAATTTACCATGAGTAAAAGGTAGCAAGACTCTTCTAGGCATCAACTGCTCTGAAACAACTATTTGCATGCATATTCTTAACCTGCGGTAAGGAGAAGGTAAGCCATAGCGACTTTGCCCTCTTTCACATGCTGCAGTTTCCACTTCCACTTATCATGGAGTATAGTCCAGCACAAGCAGCTACTACTGCAGAGCGGGCGAAGCACAGTAAAGTCCTGCCCCTTTTTATGGTGCAAGAAATTGTTTGCATATCCATACCATAAAGGCAGCATGGAGCACTTAGTGATGAAGGGTGTCCACAGTGTACAACACAGTTCTGGGCAGGGTCACCACAAGCTACCTGTAAATGTATTAGCTCATACATAGGAGTCTACACAGTGCAAGGTAGTGCCATGCAAACATATCCAACGTTTCCAAAGGAGATATAATAAAAAAGTGCTATACAGGAATAAGGTATAGTCAGGAGTTATCAAAGCATTTTACAAAGGAGTTTAACTGTATTTAACCCCATTTTCAAGGTAGGGAAACTGAGGGAAAAAAAAGTGTGATCAAAAGACTTGCCCATGGTCACCCAACAGAATGGAGGCAGAGGTGGGAATAGACTCTAGGGCTCCCATATCCCACCCTAGTGCTCTGGGTTGGGATTCTGGGCTATTTCTGTATGTAAATTCCTAATAGGTT